CCTGCCTATGCAGGGGGTCAGACTCGATGATCTCAAGCAAATCCCGGGACGTCTCAAGCAAATCCCGGGACGTCTCTCAAGCAAATCCCGGGACGTCATTCTCCCCCTGTACTCGGCCTTAGTGAGGCCGCAGCTGGAGTACTGTGTCCAGTTTTGGGCTCCACAATTCATAAAGGATGTGGAGAAGCTTGAGAGAGTCCAGAGAAGAGCCACGCGCATGATCAGAGGTCAGGGAAGCAGACCCTACGATGACAGGCTGAGAGCCCTGGGGCTCTTTAGCCTGAAAAAGCGCAGACTCAGGGGTGATCTGATGGCCACCTACAAGTTTATCAGGGGTGACCACCAGCATCTGGGGGAATGTTTGTTCACCAGAGCGCCCCAAGGGATGACGAGGTCGAATGGTCACAAACTACTTCAAGATCGTTTCAGGCTGGACATAAGGAAGAACTTCTTTACTGTCCGAGCCCCCAAGGTCTGGAACAGCCTGCCACCGGAGGTGGTTCAAGCGCCTTCATTGAACACCTTCAAGATGAAACTGGATGCTTATCTTGCTGGGATCCTATGACCCCAGCTGACTTCCTGCCCTTTGGGCGGGGGGCTGGACTCGATGATCTTCTGAGGTCCCTTCCAGCCCTGATGTCTATGAAATAGCCTGCCTGAGAGCTCTGCACTCAGTGAAATGTCTTGGAGAGTTCAAGTGAGTGCTCTGAGCAATGACCAGAGATGAACCAATGACACAATGGCCCCACGTGCATATTTAGGGCTGTGTGTGTGTTTGTACACTCACCTGTTTGTCACAAGAACTCCCATTGGAGCCACATCCCTGTTGACGGCTTCCAGTGACCAGCGATACAAGTTTTGAGAGGACTTTTAGTTGGTTAAGTCATGCACTAAAATGATACCTAAATGGAGAGTTAAAAAAGACAGGATATAACTTGACATTTCCCTAACCTTTGTATTTGATCCAGAAGCTCTGGTATTAAGAGACAGTTTGGTCTGAAACATTAGAAGAAGGGATCTGTTGTGTACTTCTTTAAGTAGCTTAAATGCTAGAAATGATAGCATTTCTACTTAAACATGACCCAAAGCAGGAGCGTAGTAGAATCTAGTTTTCACCCTCTTCTGTCTTGCAGTTTAAAACAACCTCTGTGTATTCCTTTTTTTCCCAAAATTGAGCGAGACCTGAATGCTGTCATTTTCCTGGGAGGCCTTGAGCCTGGGAAAGTTGAGGGCCATGGCTTTAGATACTTCAGGGGCAACCTGTCACCATCTCCTCCTCTCAGCAAAACAGCTCCTTGAAGGGGCTTGCCCTCATCTTGCCACTCTTCTCTCGTTTAGTCCTTGCCAGCCCACTTACTGCTTTAGTTGTCTTGCATGGTCCTTGCAATTCAGCTGTGCTTTTCTTCCTATGTAGTGCCCCAAACTAGATACAGCAGTTATAAGGGTGGATAAGCCATGTTTCAACTTAATAAGACATACAACCTAAATGGTGGAGGACGCAAGTAGCAGAGAGCGATGGGAAAACCCCTAGTCACATCCTGTTCACTCTCCCTTTCAGCCTCCCCTCTGCCTATGTGACAAAGGTCTATTTGCTGCCTTAGAAGATACGTGGGGCATTTCCCACCAAATAAACTATTAGCCTCCCTTAAACGTAGAGTCTACTGGAAAGGCAGCACCTAATTGCTTGGGACAACTAAAGACAACAGGAATGAGAGTGGTCAAAGGTTAATAACTAGTGTGGCAAGGGGGGACACTGAGCAGAGCATACCGGACAGTGCCCATTGGCCCTCAGACAAGTCCAAGGAGCCAGTGGGCACTGCCTAGTGATATTCTGCCTGGAGATGGGATTGCACTAGGGACAGGAAAGTCACTCTGCAATCCCTGCTGTGTAACAAGCTTACTTGTTGCCTAGGGAACATGGGGCAGTACCCTCAAAGAAACACTATAAGCGTCCCTTAGAGAGGAAGGCCAGTAGGTAGGCAACAACTGTTTTTTGGGGACAACTAAAGACATAACAGGGATAGGAGTGAGATCAAAGGTTTAAAGCTAGTGTACCAAAGAGGGACACCCAGCAGAGCACACCAGACAGTGCCCACTGGCCTTCAAACAAGTCCAAGGCTCCAGTGGACAGTACCCAGTGATACTCTGCCTGGAGATGAGATTGGACCAGGGACAGGAAAGAGGCTCTGCAGTCCTTGCTGTGTAACACAGGATACTGGGCAAGATAGATGTATGGGCTGATCAGTAAATGATAGTTCTTATGTTCTTGTAAATGATGGGCCTCATACAACCCTTCCAACTAAAGTCAGCATGCTGTTAGCTCTTTTTGTATTTCTCACATACCCATCATCAGTACCTTCTTTAAGGCAATTGCATGCTGGAACATTCATTTAAATGTTGGGTTTAATAGTATCACTTGAACCCACTAATTATTGTAGTGCCATTTTTTGGTATGTTAGTAACGGCATACCAAAAAGTTAGGGGTGCATCGATAGAGATTTCTGGGTCCAATACCAATATCCAATTTTTAAGGAGGCATATCAGCCAATACCAGTTAGATTTCCCATACAGTGTAGAGAGCTGCCTCCAGCTGGTAAGTCTGTTGTGGTGGAAGGGGAGCAGGAGAGGGAAGGGGCGTGGGGGGTGCAGATCAATGCCCATGGTGAGGGAGGGGGCAGGGGCAGCCTCTGCCCAGCTGGGACAGGGCATGGGGCAGAGCCACGGCTTGTTTGGGGGGGCGCTCCCACTGCTGTGTGCACCCTGGGAGGGCACGGGGGGTGGAGCCTGTGCCCCCTGGGTCTGCATGGGGCAGGGCAGATGGACTGCACCTGCGGGCAGGAGTTGAGGCTGTTCTGGGCTCTTCTCACCGAGGGCTGGGCTTGGGTTGGGAGCTATGGAGGGGGCTGCAGCCACCCCAAATTTCGCTATACCTCCCTCCCAGTGCCACCGCACACCTGGTGCAGCCCTGGCCCTTCCCAGCACATGGGTGGAGGCTGGGCATTGAGCCAGGGCTCTGCCAGGTGTGTGGTGGGGGAAACTTACCAGCTGGAGGCAGCTCTCCATGCTGCTGTGCTGTGCTCCTTGTTGCCTGAGTGCTGCGCTGCAGCTACACGCACACATTGGCATTTATCGACCAAATTATCAGCCGCATCGGGCCAATTTCTGATACAGCCAATTTTCTTTATATCTGTACCAATCCGATATCAGACCGATATATCTGTGCACCTCTACAAAAACTATGGCATTAATGGCAAATGTAAGGATCTGTGTTGTCTATCATGCAAATTAAATATATGTTTGCTTTCAGGTGTTGGGAAATCTTCACTTGTTCATCTGTTGTGCCAAAATCAGGTGTTGGGAAATCCATCTTGGACTGTGGGCTGCTCAGTGGATGTGCGAGTAAGTGAACTTCTGGACTTGCAGTGTTGTTCCTGTTGTTATTTCTGATGTTGTGGTCACTGCTTTCTGGGTCACAAGTTTAAATCTGATTCAGAACTAGTTTGGGCCTTCACTTTTCAGATGTCTATAATTAAGTTTTGAGTGTTCTTTTGAATGATATTTTTAAATACCAAAGTCTTGGGTATTTTTCATGAATATTAAATGACCACTGGTGTTTTCTTAAAGAATAGCTTAATTTAGCTAACATCCTTAGTTAAAATTTCCTCTTCTTTCATTTATCTGTGATGAGCTGACAGACCCTCTCCACCCCAAAGTCAGGTTCATTTCATTGCTGTTAAACTTTAGAATCCTTTGGGGGAAAAGTGCTAAGAAAAAAATATCATTACTCTAGACTGAATATTTTTACTTACACAAATTAAGCTTTACAATGTCACCAGCTACAGAAGCCAAGATACATCTGTCTTTCAAAGCATCACAGCACAGTGACAGTTAATATATACTCACTAGGATATTATCCTTATTACTTTTTGGTAAGTGGTCAATTCTGAATCAGAGGATGAATAAACTGAATTCACAATTCCTTGGGAGACCATTACCATGCTGTTATGTTGCCAGCCAGATGTATTGAAGGAAAATATTTCATTTGCTTTATTTCATTTAAGGAAGTTCGTGAGCAGAATATAAATAAAATCTTGCCTAAGCATAGTTTGCTGAGTGCAGAATCTGATGTCCAGGAGAGTCTGGGTATTCATGAAGAAGTTTTCAGTCTCAGTGGCAATCCATATGGCATAGTAAAAAAAAACAAAACAAAAACTCCTTTGCCCATTGTGGATAACATCTTTCCAAGATTCTTTGCCTAGGGCAAAAGATGCCAGCGATTTTTAAATCTTTGAGGGAAACGTGGTGGTTTGTATTTCATAGTTTTATAATACAACTGCCCAGTAGATCTTAAAAAGAAAATTGGTGACTAATTAATTGGTTTTTAAACTTTATAAAGGGTTTAGAGGAATAAGGAAATATCATGGCTGGATTCCAGTTCCAATAACCAATGCTGCTATTCTTAAAATTGGTATGTAGTTCTTAACTACAGGAGGAGGTCAGGGCCTTGTCTTTCATCCATTCAGAGCATCTCAGAAGGACTGTCTCCTCTCAGTCCACTGCAACCTTTTCTTGGAACACTTTGGGTGTTCATTGGTGCTTTCTTGATGTAACCCAAATCTGTTTAGCTAAGAGAGGAGATCATCACAGCACCCTGGGATCTAGTTTTAGTACTGAATTTAAAAGGTACTGGTTCGGCACTGCACATCTTTACTCTTCCAGTTTTTGTATGGATCACTTTTGTAGTTGGCACTGTGTTCATATATGGGTTGAATTTTTCTATCAGATTCATGACTACAAAGAGGGGACCCCAGAAGAGAAGACCTACTACACTGAGTTGTGGGATGTTGGAGGTTCAGTGGGCAGCGCTAGTAGTATGAAAAGCACACGAGCAGTATTTTACAACTCTGTGAATGGTAAAGTATGTTTAGTGTAAATATGTTTGTCACTGACTGCTTTCTGTGGTAGGACATCTCTGTTGGTTGAGGGGCAGGGTTCACTCGAGCCTTGCTGGGCTCTATAAAGCTGTGTGCACTTGAAGACATGGCACAAAAGGAATTCATAACTTTAAGTCAGACATCTGTGGGGAGCCAGCTATGAGCTGGAAAACCACCCTAGGTAATGATATGCAAATGAGCAGTATCCGGCATCTCGCTTCACTTCAGCATTCCAGAACTAGCACAACAGGGAGTTCCTGAAACTGCAGCGGGGTTTCCTCAGGCTGTGCAGGCAGCTATGAAGGCATGTCTCGCCTAATAAAGAAAGGCATAATAAAGATTCTGAGAATTTTTTTCTCTCTTTCTGTCTGATCCCATATTTATGTTAGAAAATATTTTTGGTCAGAAAATCCATTTTTAAGTAGTCCTGCCAAGTATTTCCTGCTCTAGCATACTAAGAACTACTTCCCCTATAAAATGTCAGTGTTCTGATTGTTGTCTGGCCTTCTTTTCTTTTGCAAAATTATTTTAGCTGCTGAATCTCAAAATCTACAGGTAAAAGTTAATGAAGAGATGGTAGCATCTCCAGCTTTGAAATACTGATGCTATAGGTCTGATGGTTCAGGAAAAAGAATTAAGGTTTTGAGGGGGAAGGAAAATTTCAATTAGAATGATGTGGCACTTGATATCAAATCTCCCATAAATCATTGCTGGAAGCAAAGCAGGAGTTCACTGAAAAAGAAAGGTAGGTACCCCCACACCAGGGATCACTTCTGAAAACTTCTGTCCTAAACATTATTTTATTAAGGTTCTTACTCCACCCATCATTATGGTACTGGAGTGCCTTTAAAGAGAGTATTAAGTGGTGCAAAAGTTTTGCTATATTGGTTCTTTTTCCTTCCTCTACCCAGGAGGAAGATATCTGTTTGGATACCTATTTGGATTTAGAAGGGTCAAATATGAAGTTTGCCTAAGAAACATAATTTATGGTTTTAAAGATGGATTGTAATGAAAAATTGGATTTTTGACCATTATTCAATATAAGGAAAGATTTAGTTTCATGTTAGAAAATCTGAGCTTCTCTCCTTCTATTCTGTGAAGGAATGAAGGACTTAAGATGTTTGCAACAAAGTCAAATCCTATAAAAGTTGCAAAGCCAAGCATATGAAAATTAGGTAACGCCAGAATTAGCATGGCCTTTATCACTTTAACTCAGGCCACTTCTGCATGTGCTTTATGATGCAGTCCTTAGCTCTGCTACTGTTACTGTCACAAGACCCCAGTCTCCTTCACTGCATAGAATGGATAGTTCTCACTCATCAAGCAGATATGCCATACCATATTTTCTGATTATTATTCAGCATGCATCTCCAGTCTTTTTTACTATACATTATTCAAACTCTGCTCTGAAGACAGAAGTATTACTTTCCTTATAGGCTTCTCTATGGATTTCATCGAGGCACTTCCCAAATATTGGACTGTTTTCATAACATTCCTGGGATGTGAAGGCGCATTGTCCCCTTAGGTCTCCATTTATAAAAGATTAATGTTTTTGAGAGCACTTGATATTCCAGATACTTAAAGCACAGATTCATTTTAATTTACTTCAGTTGCAGTGACAAGTGCTCTGTATTTCTTCCAGTCAAAAACTCATATCCAAAGTCAGGTACCAAAATAATAAGGCCAGGGATCAAATCCAGTTCTCCAGAACTACTGAAATGCCCAAACTGAAACCAGCCTTTCTCTTCTTACAATCCCTTGTTTCAGATTTCTTGTACATCTTTCAGGTTCTGCAGGAAATAAAATGGGCCCTGCAGACAACAGTCTCCTTCCTTATACCACCTTGATTCATCCTTACAGCAGGTCCATTTTACACACTTAGTGGGATAGAGGCCCTTCTGGAAAAAGCAGTATGTGGTCATGTAAAGACTCTATCATAGTGCCTACTTGTCAAGTGGGCCAACTTAAGGTTGTACAGGCAGCCTTAATTCTGACATTTCCTATCTTTTAAGAACTTCACTTTGCAACCTTTCTTTCTTATTTTTGTTTGTTGTTTGTAACCTCCTAGAAAATTGAAAAAAGCAGAAATTCCTCCCTCATACAGAGATATACACAGAGGTCATAGGGAGGACTGGATTTTCCCTACCGATCTCTGCCACTTGAGCTGATGGAATAGCTGTTAGGAGTAGTATCCTGTTTGGATCAGCAGTAGAAGGGAACGAAACACTTTACCAGTGATTTTCCTTGACATTTGCTGACAGCAGAAGAATAGCTTCCTTCCTCCCCTCATTGCAATGCCTAATACCATATTTTTTTCCTTCCTCCCACCATTGCCAGCCTCCAGTCTCTGCCTCCCAACCAATGCTCCTCCCAGTCTATTCTCACTAGGTCTGGGTTTTATCCCCTTTTCATTTGAATCAAGCAGCCTACTTCTCCACATGTTGCCTGGTCCCACGAGGAGGATCACTGAAAGCATAGGAGTGGCAGACTCCCTGCTGTCAGTGCAGAGCCTGACCCTGGACCCAGCAGCCCAGAGCAACAATTGCAGGGAAAGTCCTGCTCAGCCCCAGCCTGGCCCATACCTAATCCAGATGGAATTCTTGGGGAATGGAGCTGCATGAATCTAAGGAGTCTCTATGGAGCACAAGTGAACTGTGATATAGTTTTTGATTATGTTGGGGGGTTTTGTGTGTATGTATGTGTTTTCTTTCTTTATGTTTGTTTGCTTTAAGGCTTATTACTTGGTCAATTCAAGCAAATATTCACAGACAGGCAGAGAACAACCTCTGGTACAGACTGTCACACTCCCAAATAACAAATCTCTCTATAGCATAGGAGTACTCAAAAGAGAAGGGCAGAGGTGTTTTGTTTTTTTATAACAGGCCAAACCACATCTTTTTCCTACTTTTGTTCCTGGAGATAACTGAACCATTTTGGTAAAAGTGTTACTCTACCAATAACAGGGTCTTATTAAGGCTGATAATGCTTCCCTTTATAATAGGGCTAATAGCACAGCTTATCATTTAATACAAATGCAATCAAATGAATTGAAAAGGGTAATGATTTCTAGATGCATCGTTTCAATTTTTTTAAATTATTAACTCAAATTGCTAATGAGTAAAAAGAAAAATGCTTTTGTTAAAGATGCAACACCCTGTTAATTAACTTCTAAGACAGTTCACAAGCCATGTTTCTAGATCCTAGGCACACCCCCAAAA